AAAGAGAATTTAGTCATTACTAAACGTGAAGCTATCCCAGAGCAGAGCCACAGGCTGGCTCAGGAGCTGGTGTAAAGTCTCACCTTCAGAAAAACCTAAGAAAAGCACTCTGCTATCACCCCACCCTCACTCCTCTCCAGCACAAGGCTTCTCATCCAGCTCCAGTTGAGCTGCTGCCATGAATTACATCCTCCCACCCCTCTGAACAGTCAGCCGCAGCTGACACTAGTTAGGTCATGCTGCTCCCACCTCCAAGCACGCCAAATCATGCTCCAGAGGGACAAAAACCTGGTCCCAGGAGCAGACCAAGCTTCTTCTCACTGCCTGATGCATGCTAGAATTACTCCCAGAACATCAATACTGCTCGTGAAACAGCACGACACTTCCCTCGCGTTTATCAGAATTGCCTTTTTTTGTTTTTTAATTAGAAGCGTGGCTGCTGGGCTCCTCTGTGGAGAGCACTGTGCCGATGTTCCCTCAGCCCACGCAGCGCTGATCCAGCAAAACTGAGCCGTGGGACATTTCTCCTGCGTGTGTTGCAACTCAGCAGCATTTCCTCTACTTACTCCTTCAGCCACAACTGCTCATAATGCAAACTGTGGCTTCCAGAAGTCTTTGGTTTATGTTGGTGTAAAAAAAAAAAATAAATAAATGCACATTTTAAATAAGTTGTTTAACCCTCAGTTTCTCCAGGGTGGTATGACCCATAGGCAAAGGTTTTCAGAGTGATTTGTGGCTGGGAACTCCAAAACTTCTTTTAATTGACAGATGTATGAAAGGAAGAAAAGCAATAAACAGATGCCTGGAAAATAGTCCTTGAGTGATGTTCCCCTATTACAGAGATTTATGCAGCTGCTACTAGGAGAAGCAAGTGCTCTGAAGTGTAATTACTACACAGAGTCATGCAAGATGGGCCAGATCCAAGGTATAAGCAAGCAGTCATTGCTTTAATTATGATCAAGTTTATGTACTTAGGCAAATGTAAAATCCACTTTCGATTTGATATGTGGGAACTTTATCATCATAACAAGCTGGAAGCATTCACTTGAAACACCAGCCCTGTTAGGAGATATTGATCCAGCTACCCACAGGCTCTGCAGAGGGGCAGAGGGCTCCTTACTCCTGACTAGCAGGGATGCAGCTGAGGCTCCCAGGGCAGCAAGAGCACAACGGAGCAATTACAGCAACCTGAACTCTGCTGGGAAGGGAAGGTGCCCAGGGCAAAGACACCTCCTGCAATCACAGCCAGGCCAGGATGGAGGATGCTACTGGTTTTTGGGGAAGGACTGACCACGTTGCAGCACAACAGCCCAGCAGCTCCTCAACACTCACAGCACAGCCCCTGGTGGCACCCTATGGGAGTCAACCTGCCTGCTCCTCCATCTCCTCTCCTCATGAAAACATACTCCAATAAATTTAACTAGGGATCAAAGCAAGCATGTCACCGACTTTCACAGAAGCAAGGGAAGATGTTCTTTGATTACAAACACACAACAGAATTTGTCATTTCAACGGTGATAAGAGCAGTTCTCTCCTTTCCATGCAAACATCTAAACACAAAGTAATTCCAGTGCCACTTCCTTACTGACCAGGAGACCAAGGCTCTGTGAGATGCAGAGAGAACAACTAGTCCTGCACCTAGTCTGAAGGGAGCATTAAGTGTCAAAAAATTATATGGGAAGGGGATGTAAGGGCAGGAAGGGGTAAGGGAGGTAGTCTCTCACCAGGACTTACACCTAAACTCTCCTTCCAGCTCTCACAGCTGTTGCTAAGCTGAGGCATCACTACAGTCCTACAGAGCAAAACATTTGGGATTTGCTCCAGCTGCCACACCACCTTGCAGCCTCAGCCCTGGGCACTCTGCTTGCCCTGTTCCTCTCCTGTGCTGCAGCAGATCATTGCCGAAGCAACTCTTGTGTTTCTGGCCTGTGTGACACTGAATGCAAGAAACAGAACTAAACACATCGTTATTAAAAGCAGCTACTGCTGGCGATGATCTCATTGCACCTCCCCTGCCTGTCACGTTTGCCTGTTATCTCTTCCCTTTCATACTTTGATCATAAGCTTTCCAGGGCAGGCGTTCTCTGCATATTGAACCCGACACAACAGCACGAGAGCTCTCCAGGCAGCTCCGTAACGCAGCCATCAAACT